TGGGGGCTGTGACTGCTGACCTTCTAAAGCTTGCCATAAACATTAGTTTTTTTCTCATTTAGCCCCATGGGTTGAACATTACAAAAAAACTCTTGATTTCCCCATTCCACTCCATAAGCAAATACCAATCAATCCCTGCCCCCTTCCCTCAGCTGAGGTATTGTATTCTGACAGCGTCAGACTACCGAAAGAGTGAATGCAGGTGATTGGCTGGGGTTAGTTTAAAATGACACTAAACTCAGGGGTTAAATCTTAAAAATGCAATTATGTATCTTAAATATGCACAACAATGTATCTTATTTGTGTCATCTAAATCTTAATACACATTAGTAAACTAAGGGGTCTATTCACAAAGCTGCCGAAGGATCTGGCCGTAGCTTCGGCCGATCCTTCGGCTGGCTTCGGCCCCAGGACCCCTTCGGTTCAAGAGAACCGAGGGGGTGCTGTACGGGCTATTCACAATAGCCCGTACAGCTCCCGATCACGGCCGAGCAGCTCAGTCGAGCGCTCAGCCGTGCTGAAAGCCGAAGCTGGCCGAGCGGCCGGCCGTTGGCCGGCCGACAGCCCGCTTCTGACAGCTGGGCGGAGCCAGCTGTGATCTTACGGCTGGCTCCGGCCACTTTCAGAGAGATCAGCGTCCCTGGTTGCTAACCAGGGACACTGATCTCCAAACATCTAACTCTACAAGCCGATGTACGGCTGAAATCAGCCGTACCAGCCTGAAGTGAATAGCCGAACAGTGTTCGGCTCACTTCACTTCTGATCGGTCATTCACTCGGCTGCCCTCGGCAGCTTTGTGAATAGACCCCTAAATGTGAGATTTGTAAAAAAATAAGTCAAGGCAACTGGACTTGCTGTATTTTTCTTGAAGATCTTTCACCTGTCATCAAACCAGCTTTCTCAATTCGAAATAAACTCCTGTTACCCAAAAAGAGAAGTAAAAGCAAAAAAAAGGTTTGGCTTTAGTTCTCTTAACACAAGACCCGATACCTAAAGCTGTCCATTACACTATGCGTTTTTTCCCCTTTCAGCCCTGTAAGAAAAAGAAGTGCTTCCCCCATTCATGATAAACAACATGGATGGGGAAACCTCCACTGCTAAGCCTTTGTATTCTGACAGTGGTGAGTGTACCACTGTCGCAATACACGAAACCACAAGTGATTGACTGCAGTCACCGTTTGGATGAGAATTTTTGGCCAGGCGCCGTCGATAAAGGACAATTATGGGGAGAATGAAATACTCTCATTCCCAAAAATTAGAGCCAATGTGTGACACTGAAGCTGTCACACTCCGGCTATATAGATCAAGAATTGAGCAATCACATGCCGCTGATCATCGAGTTCCCGATCCTCTCCATGCAGAGAGTGATTACGGTCAGTCACAGCTCCCTGCAGGGATTCCGCCTCCCCTCTCTGTTCCTCCAGTGCTAACTTCAGAGAGGCAGAGCCAGCTGTCAATTGGGTGCCAGGTTGGATCCTGATAATATTGTCGGGATCTTTTCCCGGCTGCAGCACGGCTCTGAACTGTCAGCAAATATCAGAAACTAGCCCACTATATGCTGAGTTTTGGGTCACAGCAGGACATAATAAATGTCCTGCTGTGACCCTAAAGAGAACTATGGGCAAAAAAGGTTTGGGTCATAGTTCTCTTTTAAAAGTCAGTAATCAATCAACTTATGTTGAACCATCAGGGTCACCCACTGATTCCTGTGCATTCTACCAGTGTATGGCCCGATTAAAAATGTGAAAATACAATATAGTTTACCTGTTATCCATGTCAAGAGATTCATGGGGGAATGTAAAGAAAGGTGTTTCAAAGCTCCATTGAGTGCAGACAGACAAAAACTAATAGAAAAAGAATATTTTATTTACAATATTTACATAGCATTTTCTTACAGCCAGTGCTGTGAACAGTTATATTTATACAAATATACACATAGGAAGGAGCTAAGGAAACCCGGTCCTTATGCTTGGATATGGTTCAATATTTGCTTACCAGGGTGTGTTAAAGCTGTGTTTGCGGGGCAGTCAAGCCTTTCAGAGCTTTCCAGTTTAGAAGTAAATACTGCAGCTGTCACTGAATGCCGGAAGATATTGTAAAACCAGAAAAGTTGGACTATTTTTTGAGCTTAGCCTGGTTTAAAGAGTTGATCAGCTGGTTTCTGTAAAAGAAACCTGAACTGTGAGATATAATTAGGCTGCCTTCTGAAAATGTATGTGTCCTGGTTGTCCCTGGCCAATATATTTACTAACCTGGTACAAGCATGCAGCTAGTAAAGTCAGAGCTCCTGATATGCAGTCTTTAACTGAGTATCGACATGACCAGAAACTTGCATTTTCGAAAGGAGAGGTCAGATATCGCAGCCTATTTTCTCACTACAGGTTTCCTTTAGAGCAGGGGTAGCCAAACTTCGGCCCTACAGTTTTGGCACTACAAGTCCAATAAGGCATTGCAAGACTGACAGTCAGATGCATGGCTACCCCTGGCTTAGTGCTCAACTCCGGTCAAGTTATCAAAACATTTGGGTGCCCCTTCCCCATATAATAGCGATCTAATGCTCATTTAGTCTAGGAGGATATAATACTTTCCTTCTATTACTCACTCCCCTGACAGCTAGCATTCCTCCAGAATGTGGGTGGGTCCTCAACATTTCCCTGTACATTTAGATGACATTGACGAGGAAACTGCTGCATGACCGGAGAAGAGGGGAAGCTTTGTGGGACCGGTCACAAATACCGGAACTGGGACGAGGCCTGAGGGAGCAAGCAAACCCCTAAACTATACAAGCATTAGACACCCCCTTAATATAACACAAGTTACCACCTGCCAATTCACAGACATTCTTCAATTGCTGTAGATTTGTGCATTTCATAACTTTTCCTTCACAAGCCCCAAAACCTCAACTCCAGCTACAGTTTAGCATTTTAATTTGGGCACATCAAGGAACAATGATAATGGTTTTATTGTCACCAGGTCTTCCTATCCTGGTTTCCTGGTGTCACATGAGTTGAGGGAACATCTACCCAATTTAAAATAAACATTTTGGCTGGTTTGGGGCTTTCATCAATCATTCTCTAATATTATTCCATCATTTACACTTTACTATTCCTGCCATCATTTACACTTCACACTTCTTTTCTGAACATTAGACACAACAACTCTTCATTACCTCCGCTCACATCGCATGACTTTCCAATTCACATATTTCACTTCCTTCTACCTCAACAAAAGAAATCAGTCACCTGTAAAACTATCCCACCTATTTTCATAACTTAATCTTTTCATCTTCGATTTTTCAGCAAATTATATTATGCTCTAGTCTAGATTATCAGATTTTAAATGCTTGGTTTTTAGGAAACTGCTAAGGTGTTTAAATGTGCTATACAGGAGGAACTATTCCAAAAAAGAAACTTTATAAGCAATGTCGAAGTCCCCCTCTCTGTTTCCTGTACACGAATGCTGGCAAAACCGGTTCTAGCCCGCATTCTACTCATTCCCAGGCTTCTGGAAAGGCAGAGCTCATAGCAAGTGGTAAAATAAATGAGAACACCCCTGTATTTGCATACTGAAGATGGGTGTACACTTCAGGTACTTTCCACCATAAAGCTGAACCACAGAAACTTCTACTACGGTTTTAAATATTTTGCATGAAACCTCTATGTAGCAATATTTAGGAGAGCTTTTTGGACACTTACAAATAGTTGTACTATGGTAGCCTCATCTGACAGGGCTGAATGTACCAGCAAAAGTAATAACAATGACAATGGTTTTGACCTGTAAAAAAATTCTAACACTATTAACCATAGTATGCAAGAGGTGTTGAAGAAAGCCTAGGTGCAGTGGCATAGGGCAATGATCATAGCACATAAGCAAGTGCAGGGGATGCATACTGAATATGTATCCCCTACACTTGGGTCAGGCGATGTGACCATTGCCATAGCACATGACCAATAGTCATAGAACATGAGCAGGTGCAGCGGATGCATAGGAAATTTGCATTGCCCAACACTTGGTCATGTGATGTGGCCATTGCAATAGCACATTACCAATGATCATGGGACATGAGCAAGTGCAGGGGATGCATAGAGAATATGCATCTCCCTACACTTGGTCAAGTGATGTGACTATCGCCCTATGCCCTTGCTCAGAGGTAACAACTTGTGTTTTTAATGTTAAAAGTTTGTAGAGTGAAAAAAAAATCCTCCACCAGTCACTTTTTCTTTACACAAATTATTTCAGAGGTCTTGAATATTTCAGCATTCATTCTATAAACCGTTCATAATCTACCATGTAATTAAAGATTGTTGTAACAGGTATTCTATCCATGATATTGGCTGAAAAGGTGTCCACTGTTTAGCCAGCATGGCACAAATGAGAAGACAAATTGACAAGGGCCCCAAAGAAGTGCTTGGAAAAGCAGCCACCACTGTTTATATTATTTGAACGTCAAGCCAAAATGCTGACTGCTTTAACTAGATGGCATCAGCTAATCCCATCAAAGAAAAAAACAATCATGAAAGACTCCCTGATTACATATTAGGAGAGCAACAAATTGATGAGAATTTAAGGGATTTATGTGGCTTGAGATAGTATCACCCTGTGAATTTCATTCTCAGAAAACCACAAGTGGACAAAATCACTTGCTACGGCAGACGCTACTATTTGTTTTAGATGGAGTACAGTTTTGATTGTAAGGTTTCTGTATAGGAGACCACAGCAGTAGTCTATATGAGAATGATTTTTCACAAGTGGGTGACATATAAACACCAACATATTCACATTATATTGAAGCCATATCCCAAGAACTTTAGCTAATCTCTCAACCTTTGTTCACAAATAAAATATTTCCAATGAAAATACATGGTTTGGCTACAACAATGAGGGGTAAAGACTTACAATCTTTACACACATATAAAGAACAAGCAAAACCAGCTAAATTCTGATAATCAGCCAAGCTGGAGTCTGGAGTCAAGAGGCAAGTCTCTATTTTTTTTAAACCAAATTCAAAGAGTGTAGAGTTAATCAAATGCAGGTGAAGTGGATTTAAACAAAGCAGAAATATTTCTTCCATCGGCACTTTGAAAGTCGTTTAAAACCCTTGGAGTTCAGTTTTTTCTCCAGTCGTGCCTTGTGTTCAATGGCACTTAGAATGGCTGTGTCAAACACCTCTTTAAGGTTTTTCTGAGTCAGTGCAGAGCATTCAACGTATGTATGAGCTCTGATTTTCTGAGCCACAGACTGTGCTTGGGATTCACTCACGGGCTTGACACGATAGCGGTTTAGATTGATCAACACATTCACATCGTCTCTGAGGTCTGTTTGAGTTCCAACCAATACCACTGGAGTGTGGGGGCTGTGTGTGCGGATTTCTGGGATCCACTTCTCTGTGACATTCTGAAATGAGCTGGGATTCACCACACTGAAACACACCAGAAAGACGTCCGTTTCAGGGTAACACAGAGATCGAAGATGGTCAAAGTCCTCCTATTAAAGAAAACAACAATTATATTAGAGTTATAACAAAGTCATGTCTTACGGTATTTTAAAACAATAGTGATAAAGAGTTTCCTCTCCTGACACCAGTCCTTTCTCAATATTTAGCAAGGCACCATGGTCACATAATAGCTGGGACGACTGCCTAAAGCACTGTTCAACTCTTGTAGCAGCAGTGATCTAATACAGTATTTCAAAGCTATGGATTTCAGTTACAGCAGCTGTCCCTTCAATATAGAGTTCACAGAAAAGTATATATGGAATATACTATGTATGGCAAGCAGGACACGGCTAGTAGATCTGAAGAAGTGCTTTCAACATGATACCATTCATAGAAGAAGCCATTTCTGTACCATGAACAAAAGGATAGCATGTTTCCATCTGTAAATGTTCCCTAAAATGCAAGGACGTAACTAGAAATCCTAGGGCTCCATAGCAAAATTTGTGCTCCCAAATGCATGCATTCATTGTGCAAAACCAAGCAGTCAAAGTTCATATTCCTAAACTAAGAAGTAAAGCAAAAAGGCAAAGGGCAGCAGATGGAAAATGCTCCAGTGTCAGTAGGAGGAACAAATGCCCTATGTCAGTGGTCAGTAAGAGAAAAAAGCCCGTCTGTCAGAGAAAAGAAAAAACTGCCCTTGCAGAGGTGGTCAATAGGAGGGAAAAAAATACCCTGGTGTCAGTGGACGTAAAAAAATTACCTGTTGTTTTTT